CGTAGGGTACGTCGATGACATCAGGCCGCAAACCAGAAGTACATGTGCTGCCATTTTGGAAAAGGGATTTCTGCACATTGCCTACAGAATACACTGTATAGTGAGTTTTAACTCTGTAGTGTCTCAGGAGGACACTTATAAATGTGAATTTACTAGATTATATTAATAAAGGCTGTTTTTATTGGCAATGCTATACTATATTGAGCATTCTTTTCAGATGGATGTGGAGCAATCTGGAGATATTTAAAAGTGCTAGCTAACGGTGGTGAAGATCTATGTACCAGTATACCCTCCTGGGTTAAAGGGAAAAGCGCAGTTTGACCTGTCATTACGGGTCAAACTTGGAGGTGAGCAAAATAGAATGTTGGAGGTAGATGAGCACAAAGGGGTGACACAGGAGCACCGTATACGTTTATGCAGCAGTGTGTTTACACTGGTCCACTTCAAGTACAGCGGATTTAAAGGGAAGGTTCACCATTTTTTGAGACCCTATTTATAACACACTCGCTGCTGGTGTATTTGGATCAAGTTCACATGAAGATATTTAAGATTTAAAGGGACAGTCCACTATTAAGGACATTTTGTGAAGACAATTCAATTTTAGCACTGGTTATGTGCAGTTCTATGGGCACACCCAATGGTAAGACATTTGGTGTAGCACACATTGATTGCCACAAGCACAGTTTCTGTTTTCACTATTTATATATGCACGTTTAATATTTTAGCACTAGATTTATGTTTATTGCTGCACTGCATTTTTTATTGATTTATTTATCTTTTTTTGGGGGGGTAAACATTTTTTTTTCCCTCTATGCCAGGAGTAAGAGAGATACAATGTATCTCTCTCCTCCATTCACAGAGAGAAAAAAAGACAAGGGGGCCGGGCTGTACAGTGACTGATCACTGTGATAGCCAATCACAGCGATCATGTGACCCGCAATTGGGAGTCCCGAGTCCCGATCATTAGAACGGGACCCGGTGCTCTCAGTGACACCGCGGTCTTTGTGCTGGGAGCGCGCTGTGTGGCGCGCTCCCAGCAGAAAGACAGGTACGCAAATATGCAGCCCCACAGAAAAAAGCTCAGTTCTGTGAGGCCGCATATTTGTGTTACGTCGGCATCAAGGGGTTAAACTTTAAAATGCATGGTCAGTCTAATTCAGCTGAATACATTCCAGGTGTATCAATATAAAAGGTGTGCAAAGTCCTACAGTGTGTTTTCTTTAAAAAGCAGATACAGCCTGAGTAGAAAAGCCTGTCCCCTGCCAACATGCTATACAGAAAGACCCTTGTTCTCTGTGGGGAAGCAGTGATCTTTTTTCTAGAACACACCTTCCGGTTTTGACAGCCCATATAAAAAGTAGAGCACGCCCTTCTTTTTCAGATCATGGCACACCAAACTGCATGGTACTGCGGAACATGCAGTTTGGTCACTGTTAACTCACTGCATTTGAGAGATGATTTTGAGGTGCCATTAACAATTAATGGCACCCACATGCATCTCAAATGGCAACGTGTTCGTGTGTGGTGGGGGAAACGCACATGGAAAGTACCACATTCTACTGTAAACCAGCCCTTGATGACAGCAAATTTTAAAAAAATGTGAAAACAACTTTTAAAATTCTTTGACATCTTAAAGTTTACAGGAGATGCTAGTAATTGGTTTTAGATATATTTTAATTGTTTATCCCCAAATTCACTTTACTGTAGTTTTCAGTTCTTTTGCTAAAATTCTCCTATTTGCCCCCAACATTAAGCCCTGGTTCACACTGAAGCAGTGCGGAATTCATAGTGTTTTCTGTGCGAATTCCACACCTCATCAGAATAATACCCCGTTCACGCGAACCGCTACATGTGTGTATGTTAACAACACCCCGAAAGCGGTCCGCAAAACACGGTGCGATGTGCAGAATTGGATTGCATAGCTATGAATACCCATGCGATCTGATTTTAGTACAAACCCAAAAAAGGGTCCTGCACATTTTTTTGGCGGAGCGATTAGAACCATACAAAATGTATGGCTCCAATCACACCGCACACAAATCACATGTGATTTACACAGGAATGCGGTGTGGTTCCTGTGGGAATCACATGCTATATACCGCACTGCATACTGTATATGTGAACCTGGGCTAAGGGCTCATTCAGACGATGAGCCTCATCCTCAGGAAGCTTCCTGAAGATGTCCAGGACAAAACGCGTTGAGGCGTGGATTATGAGTCACTATCCCATCAGTGGAACCGATCACATCCTGTTAGTGGAACGTGCGCTGCTTTCGGTTTTGGAGTGGCGGTGGCCATCTTTCCCCCTACAAGCTGTATACACCTAGTGCCGGTTTTATATAGGCACTGTAACAAGTGTGTGAAATGTTTTTACTGTGTTTTTAAGTAAATTGAACAGTTTTATGCTTTGAGACCTTTCCCTTGGTGTCTTCTTTCCTGAGTGGTGGTGCTTCACAAGTGGAAGACCATTGGGTGAACCATGGATGGTGATAAAGTATATGGGGGCAATAGTGGGTTCATTCCCTGTCGTGAGTGTCAGGCCATGTGGGGACATTAGAAGCACTTTGAGTGGAGCATTTGTTTTCGTCCATAGAAGCAAGACCACTTTATATCAGCAACACTGTCATATTGGGACTTTTTTTGGACTCCTTTTTGTCACTGTTTGCATTCACAGTATACACATTTGTTGAATTTAATACTGAGATGATGCAAATGGTTTTTATGCTTAAAGTTTTACTAAACCCAATACAGTAAAATCAGTCTGTATATGCAGTCAAGTATGCTTGTTATACTCACTGTGGAACCTAAGGGGTTAATCTTCCACATTTTGTAAAAAGGCTGTTTGATCCTGACTTCTCTGCTCCTCCTCTTGTTCAGATGTCCACCTGATACAGACTGAATCCGGAGTCACATACACATGCTCAGTTTGATGTGTATTGCTAGAGAGGTTTTTTTTTTCTTAGGATGGTGCATGTGATCAGCACAGAGCCAATCAGCACTGTCTAGACAGAGGTCAGGGGTTTTGCATCCTCCTAGAGCAGAAAGAAAACTCCTCCTACAAGCTTTAACCAATGCTCTGCTGAAGTCACAAGACTGCTCTAACTGCTGATGAGAAAAGGTATTTAGCAGTTTATATTTACTAAAATAAATCTGTGTATTGTGGGAGACCAAATATAGTGAGTGCAAGGTCTTGGGTTTAGTAACACTTTAATTTATGTGGAGAGCAGTGTAGTTTTCATTTATTTACATTTGGTAGTTTGTGTATCACAGCACACAGGGTTAACTGCGGCAGCTAGTTTTTGTTATCGCTTTTTTATATAACACAGAGCGAGTAACACATTGTAGACTAGGCAAATTATGTCATACATCCCCAGAGTCTTCCAGAGGGGAGGAGGGATTTTCTGAGCTAAGCACACTCACCTGCTTCCATGCCTGAGCTAAGGGCAGATGGATTACAGGAAGTAAATGCTACATGAACCATTACCCAGGATGGCCATGGCCAGAAATACTAGAAAAGGAGATGTTTTTCAACGTGATTTCTAAGCAAAATAAGGCATGGAGACATGAATGGATTGGTTCATTTGCTGTGAATAATAAAAATGAATTAAATAGCGTGTTTGGTTTGTGGTGCTCAGTTGCAATGCAGTTCCGTTTTAAAGTATTGAGCCATATGTGTTATAGGTAAGAGCTGCCACCTGGCCAGTAAAAATTGGATTGTTGGAAATGTTATTAATAGGAAAGAAGGTATAAGGCTGGAATTGTTTTCCAAAAAAACATGACCACCATATTCACCGGCCATGTTCCCTTTGTTTTATTAAAAGTATAAATATATTTGCAGTCCAGTAACTGAAAAGTATACAAAATGTTCGAGCCGCTCACACCACTTACTGCTGCTTCATAAACTTTTATCATTGAGCCATGAAAATGTGTTAGTGGGTTGAGTTACTGGACCTAGACTAGCATGGACTGCTTCTAGGTTTTCATGGTCTAGCAATAAATGTTTATGAAGTAGAGTAAGTGGTGTGAGCGGCTGGAAGATTATCTTTCCATTTGAAGGCGAACTCCAAGTCTTCGAGTTAATGCAAAGAAGAGACTGCCTGGAGGGGTTCGCGTGTATGCGTATGAACAGGGGCGGACTGAAAACTCATGGGGCCCCCCGGGCAATAGGGGATCATGGGGCCCCTGTGTCCTTGCCCAAACTCAAAAAAGCCTATGAAAAAGGTACCAGTGGCATCTCATGGGGCCCCCTACTGACCCCGGGCCCTCGGGCAGTGCCCAAGTTTCCAAATGGTCAGTCCGCCCCTGCGTATGAAGAACTGTAAGGTATTCCATGAGCGATGATGGGTAAGAGACCCGTCAAGGAATAGCATAGTGTGAGCAGACGAAGACAGGCTTTATTGTCACATATTTTACAAATCACTCCTGAGATTTCACATTGTCTATTCACACACATAGCATGGCTCAGCCCCACCCCTGCTCTCTCCTCATTGGCTCACTGACTGTGATTGGCAGCAGCAGAAGCCAATGGCTCCTGATGCTATGTGAACCAATGAGGAGAGAGAGTGTCCCGGGAGAGCCACAGCTCTCGTGGATGTTGCTCGATGGAGCTAAGGTAAGTATAGGGGTTGTGAAAAAAAATGGTGCTGCGCTTATGAATAAAATCAATAATATCAAGTAACTGTAATGTGCAGCAGTCCTAATTGTGAACTCAAATACACAAAATCATAAATAAATACCATATGGACCGAGCATAAGCCGTGCAAATAATAGAAACTTTCTATTATTTGCACGGCTTATGTCTGGTCCATATGGTATCTATTTAAGTATAGGGGTTGTTGAGGGAGGGGGAGCTGCGTCCAAAAGATTTTTTACCCTAATGCATTAAGGTAAAAAAACTTCCACCTTTAGAACCAATTTAAGCTAAAGCTAAATAGGATAGTAAAGTAGTTTTTAAAAATTGTACATCTCTATAGTTATTATTTTATTGACGATATACGTTACCTGTGGTCACCCAGTAGTTCATTGTTGAAGGTGAGATGTCAAGAGTTGGATAATATAAGGCTAAAAGGAAAAAGTAACAAAACATGAACATCTATTAATAATCTCTGAACTATAATATATGGATTGCAAAATTACATTTGCTTTACGTGTTTATATAGCCATACTGCCCTATTGGTATAGCGGTGCTTTACATCTGCCTTTCTCAACTGGGGTGCCTTGAAATCTCTTCAGGGGTGCCTTGGCAAAATGTCTAAAAATTGCTCAAAACATGTATACAAGCCAGCGAGTAGAACAAGCCCATCTTTTAGTTGCACAAAGCCACAGGTTTTCATTGTGCACCATTACGAACTTCTAGCCGCCATCATCCTGACAACCAATGACATCATCAGTTGATAAGGAGGATGTCAGGCGCCTGCATAGCATCCTTGTTTGACCCTCCCCTGCCCCTCTCCATCAGTGCTGGGCTCACATTAGCTCAGAGATGGAGAAAAACTGAGAGAGAGGAGAAACAATGGAATACTAGTCAGTACCCGTGTGCAAAAGAGTATTTGCTTTGGAAGAATAAATCACCTCCAATGTTGGGTGTTCTATGTGTGTGGATGTTGCTGCCTTACATAAAACTATTAGAATAGTTTTTCACATTTTAGAATGGGGTGCCTCAAGACTGTCCATAATTTTAAAGGGTGCCTCGGGGCTGTCCATAATTTTAAAGGGTGCCTTGACTGAAAAAAGGTTGAGAAACATTGCTTTACATAGTGGAATTAAATAATATCAGTCTTTGGTTTCAAGGAAGCTTACAATCTACTTTACCTACCACAATCAGACAGACATGCATACTCTAAGACATTAAAGTATATGTGAACCCTCACCTTGTAAAACAACCCATTCAGTTTAAAAAAAAGTCAAAACATGTCTGTATATGTATATAAAAAACTTTATAAATACCTTTTTTTCTTTTTTTTTTTTATAAGTGATCATATAGCCTTTGTTCTTAGCTGCATAAGGGGCTTAGAGAGGTGGGGGTGGAGGAAGAACAGTACACTGATCTTCCCAGTGAATGGCTGTGTGTGTGTGTGTGTGGGGGGGGTGTTAACCCAAGTGTTACCATTGGAGGTTAGGCAGGCTGTGATCCCAGCACAGCTATTAAACTGACCACACTGGGATGGATATACATTCATGCCTAGTGAGGTCAGTTTGAAATAGGAAAGCAGGGGGGCTGGCAGGATCACCAGGGATTGCACACAAAGGAAGAAATACAAAGAGAACAGGATATTTTTAAAACAATACATTGTACAACAAACACAAATCAGGAATATGAAAATGTAGGGTAACATTTTTTTAAGCTAATGAAATGTTAGGGGAGTAACCCAGAAGATCTGGAGGAAACCAAAAAAATTTTATACATGCAGTCTTCCTTTTCTACCCCACAACCCCACGCTGTAAGCCAAGAGTGCTAACTATTCATCCATCAAGACAAGCTGTTACTAAATACTGTGTATACTGTACATCGATATATTGACAGATCTTAGAGATATTCATTTGCATTACAATATATCAAAAGGCAAAGCTTTTTATTTCATTTTGGATGGGTAACCTCTGTGGGTTTTTTTTCTGTACACACAAAAGGAAGTGAGAGGAAACTGCTCTAGAGAAAAGCCATTCTTCTCTTAAAGCAGAACTAATCTCTCTCTGTAAACAATAACTATTAACCCTTATGCGGCTAGCATTAGTAAATAGATAGGGAGGTATATCATATTTACTGCTTGTAAACTTTTGTTTACATTTCTTCAGTTGCTTCCTGGTTTCTGACCTAGGCCATCATGATGTCATACATCCCAGGAGTCTTTATGGGCATATTTTCTTCTTGCATCTAGAGGAGGGGCTTTCTCAGCTAAGCACACCCCCCTGCCGTTATGCCTGAGCTAAGGGCAGGTGGTTTCCAGGAAGGAAATGCAACAAGAATCATCTGCACTTACTCAAAATAGCCATGGCTAAAAAAGGTAGGGGATGTTTTCTAAAGTGATTTCTCAAAAAAATAAAAAAGCTTGGATGGATGGGATTGCTGCGAATATTAAATATGTATTAAATAGCATTTTTCAGTTTGTAGTGCTCAGATACAGTTGAGTTCTGCTTTAAGTCAGCTTTCACTGACAATGGAAGTTTCTCCCTATATTGATGTTTTACTGACAACTCCAAATTTGGGATTATTATGTACTTTCAGTCCTGGTGACAATGGTCAGTTTATTCGGCTGTGGGTGTACAGTCCTGAATACTCAGTGCGTGAGCTCAGGGACAGGCATCGGCACCTACGTAGATGTGAAATTGGGATCAGTGGCTATGCCCATGCCTAAAAGGCCTTAAAGGGGAAATCCACTCACTTTGACAGAATGTGATGGGAGATTTCCCTAATGGTACAAAACAGCAATAAATTAAAAAAAACTGGCAGAGATTGTAACCCTTTTCTGTCCAAAATGAATGAAAAAAAAGGTTTGCCTATACATACACCTTAAAGTATATTTTTATATAGTATAACTACAGCTAGCATGACTTTCATGTCTAGCATTTTTTATCATCACACTACAATGTAACTAAAATAATTACTTTGTATTGATAAATTGAAGTAATATAGTCAACTCTAAGGCTGCCCATAGATGGTCTGGTTTTTTTTTGATCAGCCAGCAGGCTGATCAAACAAAAATGTACAGATTCCTTCATCCACATGTAGCACTACCCTCTTAGGAGTTGCAAAGAGATTTCGGGTTCCCCTATAGTCCTGCACAGCTAGGCAGCACGCATTTTCACATAGACTTGCATCCAAAGTCAGAAATCAGTTCTTGAGCTTTGGTTTTGTTATTTTTATTAGGGGATTTGAATTAGGATAGGGTTAGGGGTGTACAGGATGCCCAAGAGAACTGGTGAACTGAGGACAACTTCTTGGAACTATTTAGAAGCCTTCACTGCAACACAGTTTCTGTTGAAGAGCTAGCCAGCATGTCCCAGTGTACCACCCCAGACCCTAGATGAACTCCTCTTCCTTCACCCAGCAATCTGGAGGTATCCCTGAACAGGGGATTGTTTTGGTTCCTGTTACTTTAAGAAATGGACAGTCCCAGGAAGGTGGTGAATCTGGTTTCCCACCAGAGTGCTCCTTCCCCTGTCTGCCCCGGGGGTGCAGGGGTACTCACTCAGATCCTCTCCTGTACCGCTGATAGGTTGGTGGCTGCTACCAGGCCTTTTAGCTGGGCCGCTCCTTCCCTGCTGTACAGGTGGTACTCGCTCTGGGGGCCACTGAAGCTCTGAGCTTTCTTCCTTTCCAGTTCTGCTGCCTGTAGGTGAGCCCCTCTCGCCATCTGGACCTCTTCCCAGGCTCCTGCCTCCAGCCTCACATCTTCCTCACCGTCTTCTGCCAGACTCTCCCCTGCAACTGAGCTGGCTCACTTACTTTTAAGGGTTGACCTAGCCCCTTGCCAAGCCTCCTGTTGGGGATTGGCTAGGATCCCTCAAGAGTACAGGCCAGCCACACCTGATCCATCCACTGCCTTCCCACAAAGTTCTAAATCAGGGGGAAATTCCAGGGGGGCTGGCCTGCAACGCCTCTCAGCTCCTGACCACAATTTGACCTCCTGACTATTACACTCAGGCTGCTACTCAGCCCGCCTCTCTAACAATCAGGACTCTAGCTCCCCCTAGCTAACTAGGAGGTGCTACACACACAAGTAAGATAGATGGGAGAACTCCTCCAATGTCAGAATACACTGATCAGCGCTGCAGCCGATTGGCTGCAACTGATGATTGAATGAACATTTTCTAATATTCCCATTTGATGAAAGTCGATCATTACCAGCCATAGATGGATCAAAATTTGGTTGGTTCAAAATATCCTCCTGAACTGGCCGAGGACCTATTTATGGCCAACTTAAGGCAGTAGATTCTAGCAATAGAAGCATGGAAGACTTACGTTCTGCAATAATAGAAGGAGGGTCCCCTAGATAGTAGCCGACTACCTCTCCAGACAGGACATTTAGAAGGCTGCTGGCTGTTGTACCATCTAGTAGTTGACTGTTATTCCTTACAACGTAGATCAGAGTCAGAGACTGGTTCACCTTCGATGTGCTCAAAATCTATTAAGAGATATAATATATATAATTATGATCATTGATATGCCAAAGTAATATGGTACAAGATCAGAATCTCTTCTGTCAGCATATATAGCTAAATCAATAACTTCAGTTTAATAAACATCAACAACAGCACACATTCAGGCCCAGACTGGGACAAAAAATATGCCCGGGCATTTTAGACTGAGCAGTCCTGAGCCTGTGGACCCTTTCTCTGGAGCCCAATGGTGGAATGCCAGGGCCCAGTTGCAAGTGTGTCCTTTGTGACCCTGTCTATAGTGTTTTATTTTGTTTTCTTACTTTTTTTTCATTTTATTATTTTTTACAGGAGCCCTGTTGGGGGGCTTTAGTGAAATATCAGGGGTCTAAACACACCCCTGACATCTCACCTTTGAGACAGAGAAAGGAAATTGAGGACACAGCCCTCGATCTCCATCTCTACAACCTCATGTGCACAGAATGAATGAACAGGAATAGCTCTGTACAGAGCTTCCTTTTCATTCATAAACTGAGGTATTGTAAATAGTATACTATGCTTGAGTTATGAATGGACAAAGTCAGTGATCGGTACCGAACACTGACTGTCCATTCAGACAAGGAAGGGGCCGGTAAATTTCATGTTTACTGGCTCCTTTCCTGCTCTCCATCCTGACAGCAGCTGGTGGAAGAAGGGATGGGGGAACCAGTCAGTGTTGGGGGGGAGGAGAGGGGGCCAGGAGAGAGCACACAAGGGCCCAGAGAGAACACAGGGGGACCTGGAGAGAAGATAGGGGCAGCAGAAAGAAGATGGACAGAAGGGACGGTGGGGCGGCATATAGAGGAAGTGGTCCATTAATTTCTCTACTGCAGCCACTGAATGCCCGCAGTAGGGAGAGGAGGAGAAGCAGGCATTCAGTGGTGGCAGGAGGGAAATGGACAAATTAGTTCCTCTATATGCCATCCCCGCCACCCCTCCTATCCAGGCGGCTCTGGCCCTTTGGGTAAAATCCCTGTATGCCCTATGGCCAGTCTGGGCCTGCACACAATGGCATAGCTTGCTTGAACTTCAAAGTGTATCAAAAACCAACATTTGTTTTCATTTTGGATGGAAAATCCTCCAAAGTGAACACTTAGGTGTCTGTTTAAAAAAAAATCCCTATGTGAATGCCTCAAGCATTCACTGAGATGTAACAAATAATCTTATATATTGCCTAATATGTTTATTTCCTATGATCATCAGCTCCATCTAGTGGTCATAATGCTGTATTTTCCTAAGGTGATTCAGAAAAATATTGCATTATGGTCACTAGATGGCACCTTGTTGCTTCATCCCTTCCTCTAAGAGGGATAACCTTGTGGAGTTGACACAATCACTGGTTATCATCCTGGTTGTTAGCACATATCACAGCAGGGTCTCTATGGAGTTTCCATCAGAACAGTGAAGGAGGACAGGGATAGGTGTGGAGGGCTGGCCCATGTCACCCGGATCCCTCCACTCTGGGAGGGTTAGGAGGGGACTGTAGGGGAGAGGGGGGGTTCTCTCTGGGGGTTGGGGGTGACCAGGGGAGGGTGGGGGGGGGGGGGTGGGGGCTGGGGGGGGTCTCATTTGGGGGGGCTTGGTTTTTTTTTTGGGGGGGGGGCTTTTTGGGTGGGGGTTGTTGTGTGTGGGTGGGGGAGGTGATGGATGGGTTTATGCACTGAACTATTTTTTTCTTATGTCCTTCAAAGAAATATATTCTGTTATTAGCCTTTGAGGTGCTTCATTTTTTATTGTGGGGGGGTTTTGCATATACTGTATATGTTTTCAATTTACCCAATTATAACTAGAGTTGCATTTTAAGCTTTTCTGCAGAGATTTTAGATGGGCATTCCAAAGCCAAATCCTCTGCCAACTACAGCACCTGCGATGGCACAGTCATGACTCTGAACAGGTGCAATCCCAGCAAGAAGACACAAAGCCAGCCAAAACCCCTACAGTCACATGAAAGCTATGTGCTTGAAGAGCGTTCCAGCTCCTACATAAAGGAAAGTGCTGAGATAAATATCAGATGCGCAAAACTAAAAAACAAAATGTGAAAATGCAAGTCTATGCAGTATTCTAGAACTCTAAAGCTCATCTGTTGATTTGCAGCAAGCTTTGTGCTGCAAAGAAGGTAATCCTTGATATATATATATTTTTTTTTACAGCGCAGAGAAATCATTATCCAGACAGATAATTAAAAAAAATTGTAATAGGCTGAATGATCAAATAGAGAAACTGTAAAGGCCCTCTCAGATGGGAGATCTGGTTGGATCCAGGGGCGGACTGACAACTCATGGGGCCCCCGGGCAATAGGGGATCATGGGGCCCCTGTGTCCTTGCTCAAACTAAAAAAAGTCTATGAAAAAGGTACCAGGGGCATCTCATGGGGCCCCCTACTGACCTGACCGGGGTCCTCGGGCAGTGCCCGAGTTTCCAAATGGTCAGTCTGCCCCTGGTTGGGTCCATCTGTCAGTTTTTCAGGTGGACCTGATCATATGGTCCATGCATCCCTATAGACAGGTGGTTGTAAACAGACTTGTGGTCGTTTACACCTGCCTACCCCCAGGTCCTATCAATCCGCTAAAAAAAAAGAGGTATAGGGTCCCTCCTCTTCCATTTAGGTGGATCAGATTAGAGGGTAGTCAAGCTCCACTGTTCGTTTACTTCCGGCCACCCATAGAGCAGAGTGGTCTCTGTCATGTCCAGTCTACATAATTTGAGCAGACACGAATGTCTCATCCACCTGCTCTGCTCCGATTGACAAGGGATCTGTGAGCAGAACAGAATCCATCCTGTCTGAAAGGGGCCTTACCTGCAGTTTACTAAACAGATGCAAAATCAGAAGCAAAATAGGTTTAGGATGGCAAAGAGCATGCATACAGTATACTGCAGAATAATACAAAACAAATCAGGAAAGCTGCACAAACATGGACTCTCCACAGCAATGTCTCTGTGACTCAGTCAGGGTAACATGCCTATACAGAATTGTCTCTATAAGATAACAACAGTCAAGCAGAGAATCGCTGCTTCAGTAAATCATTACAGAACACAGCCACTTGCGATTATCCTTATAAACATCATCCCTCTCAGTAAAGTCCAGAGTAGCTCTGGTAACACAGGTGAACAATTGCAGGGATCCAACACCCAAAGACAAAGGCCACTTCACTGGAACTGGAGTACTTTGGTATCAACCAGGGAGGCTGCTTGCTACTGAGTTCTGGCCCAGCTGTCCACATGCCTGTTCTGACAGTGAAAAGCTTCTCAGCTGGCTTCAGATCACTTGCCCAGCTACCTCCGCCTCATCAGGTTTGGCTCTGCTGAGAAAGGTAAGCTTAAGAACATATTTACACTTGACATGGCCAGGGACCCAGGGCATTGTGGGACAAGGAGTTAAGAGGCCTGCACCTGCATTTGCTCATGGTGAGTAATCAGGCACCTCTGTTGCAGATAGCACATCAACAACCTCCAATTTTTCAAGTGTTATCTCCATATTCCTGTTACAGTAGGGTGCAGGGGCGGACTGACCATTTGGAAACTCGGGCACTGCCCGAGGGCCCGGGGTCAGTAGGGGGCCCCATGAGATGTCCCTGGTACCTTTTTCATAGGCTTTTTTGAGTTTGGGCAAGGACACAGGGGCCCCATGATCCCCTATTGCCCAGGGGCCCCATGAGTTGTCAGTCTGCCCCTGGTAGGGTGTCCAAACATGACCGTGTAGTCCAATAGGCACTAGAGTTAGACCTAGTGCTCTCAGTAATCAGCATTCAGTAACAGACCTGGTTTGATACACCCCCTTTCTCCTCTACAATATGAATATTACCGGGCTCCCTGATTGCTTGGGAAAGTGCCGGTAACAGCAGGGGGGACCCCCTTCCACCACCTATAAAAGTAATCCAGCAGCTGTATAGCCGCCAGGATTACTTTTACAACGTGCAGAATTGCTGGATTTAAAAACAATACTGCGATCATGACTGTAGCTGCAGTCATGATCCCAGTAAAACCGCTTCAATATGAGGCTTTATATTTACATATGGCAGTATTGTAGCAGTTTAAAAAGGATCTTCAGTGTTGTTTTGTTTTTTGCTTTGATTTGGGTTTTTCATATACTGTAGCTGCTGACTTTTACAATTCAGGTACTTATTAGTGCCTGGGGTCCAGCCAGGGGAGTATTTACCACAAGGCGAACAAGGCATTTGCCTAGGGCGGCATTTTTCAGGGTAGCAGCGCTGCCCCCCAAAAGAAGGGTCACACATTGCATGGGGACCAGGTGGGATCTGAGAGAGGCTACGTGACAGAGAAGGGGGGGGATTCGATGGCTGGTGTATGGGGGGCGGTAGTGGAAGGCAGAGGTGTTGTTGGTAAAAGTCAGGTTCTCTACGTGGGAGGGGGGGGGGGTGGTGTTTGTTGGTGTCAGGCTCTCTCTGGGGGGGGGGGGGCACCGATTTTTGTGTTGCATAGGGCAGCACAAAACCTAAATACACCACTGGGTCCAGTGCAGTCTTCCCACAGTTCTTCATACCGCTGCAGATCCCTGGTGCTGCCATCTTGGATATGTCCGCCAGCTGGGTCTTTCTGAGGAACCACAGAAAGCTTTCCACTGCGCACATGCAAGCTCGTGTGCATCTTTGGGCATGGTCCTACAGCCCCCTTGGAGCATGTGATGTGTCCCAGAAGGCTCCCGGGAAGGGAGGGGATGGGACAAGGGATGTCATCCTTACATAGATGAGAACTGCAGAAGTTGGAGTGAGTACTGATAAAATCGGTACTTGTTCCCCCTCTCCCCCCATAAAGCCCTGTAATTTATTTACAGGATGGAGGTAAGGAGTGAACCAGCGGGGCTTTACTTTTTAAGAGAAGTTCCACTTTAAGTTTACATTCCCATACATTTTACAGCCCTCTTAGGAACTTGTATAAATACCAGATAACATTGTCAGGAAACAGTTCATTTCTACATCTGTATTATGAATGATTTAATAGTTCTCACCTGGACTGAGAGGTTGCTCTGTATCCCCATGCTGGTCATCTCTGCTATCTCAAAAGCCTTCTGCAACTTCTGCTCCATGCTCCGAACATAGACACATGTGTTCACATTCCCTCCTGTCCCCATCAACTTCAACACTGTTGATAATAATAATCAGCACAATATTATCAATAAGAAAAATCTGAAAAGGACAGCCTGTTCAAAATTTGATTTTTTAGTAGATGTTGTAAATTTAAATTGCCTCTATTTTTCCTATAGCTCTCAATGTCCCATTGGAGGGCTCTCTGCATGGGCTTGTCAACTAAGCCTACACAGGGAACATCAAGGAAGTGTGAAGCAGGAATGATAGCTATTTAATATGCAAGTAAATGCGTTAAAACAAGAAAAACAAAAAAATTAAGCATAAAGCAACATGAATATCACTGGATGGCAAAACGCAAAACTGAAAAGATCCCTGTCGAATTGACCAAAGGCATGTGATGATGTAATGAAAGTCCAAAGCATGCGAGGATCAAACCATTGATTCAGACCATTGAATGTTACGTATTATCAAGCATGCAGATAAGGAGAGGAAGTAAAGAGATTTGACATTAATAAGCTACATACAGGTAGAGCTATAAAGCTAAAATATCAAAAAGAAATCATTAAAAAAATTAGGTTAATGAACAAGAAAAGTGAATCTACAAAAAAAGTTCATGATAATCAGACCATACGAAGGAAAGGAACACTGGTTTAATGAGGAATGGAGAGAAGCAGGAGAAGAGTAAAAAATGTCCAGGTCTAAATTGCTGGAGAAAAAAAAACAATAGCAAGTATATAAAAAATTACTGAAAAGAGAAGAATGGTAAATAAAATATGACAGAAAAGAGAAAAAGAAAAAGCACCAAACAACTAAAGAAAGGTAAAGATTAATTCAGCGAGGTTAGTGTAGTAAAGAAATGGTTTTAACTTTGAATCATGATATACAGAGATAAAAAAAATGGGGATTGGCGAGGTACAGAAAATATTAGACTGCTAATATGATGAACTTGAAAACTGAAATCTTATTTTATAGCTCTGAAATAAAGTTGGAAGTCCCACTGAATGATAAAATAGAAGTAGACAACGGACATTTGAAAGAAAATAAAGAAGCAGAGGGGAGGATTTAGGTTTTGGAGCTTTTAAAGACTGTAGACATATAAGTGCACTTGTAGCATCAAAGCTGGGTACATTATGTGATTTTTTTCAGTTTTCAAGTCTTCGAGGTGTACGTCTTCTTCTTGGCCCAAGCAGACACACAAAGGTTTAGAAAATTAAAGGTTAAATTTAGTTAAAATTGTCTTTTAAAATCAGCACAAGTACTTACATTCAATGCAAAGTGTCCCTTGTGCTGCTTTCTTAGTCTTTTAAGTTGAAATCTGAAGTCTCTCTCTAACTCCCCATACCCCTGTGATCTTCCAGTGCTGCAGGGGTTAAAATGATCGGCTGGACCTGTCATAGGAACCTGCCAAGAGTGCCGGCTATGCTCGCCCTTTTTGTGCCCACCCACACACACACACACACCTGTATTTATAGTAGCTGTACTATTACAGGCAGGATAATGAAAGGTCTACCTTCTCCATTCATAAATGGAATTTCATTGATATAAACTTTCACAGGTTCTATAAATGCAGGAGAGGGGCAGAAAGGGCAAGGATAGTTGGCACTTTTGATGAATGACGGGTCTAGCAGATTGTATTAACCCCTGGAGCACTGGAAGATTACAGCTTTGGGATTTGGTGAAAAGGAGGGGGAGAGGACTTTTAAATTGCAACTAAGAGAACAGGCAGTAGTACAAGGGACACTTTACATTGAATGTTGTCTCTTGTGCTCATTTTTAAACATAATCACACATCTTTAACTAAATTTAGATTTCAACTGCCAATTTGAATGTTGCTAATTCTTTGTGTATAGGTACTGCTTGGACCAAGAAAAATGGGAAGACCTTCAGAGTTTATCCTGAAAAATGTACTATTGGTGCAAATAAAAAGTCATATGCAGTACTCAAGGACCAAAGGCGAGAAGAAAGAACTTTCAGATTACCTTACTCTATCCTGAAAATAAACCATTAAGAACCAGGGGTGGACTGACAACTCATGAGGCCTCCGGGCAATAGGGGATTATGAGGCCCCTGTATCCTTGCCCAAACTCAAAAAAGCATATGAAAAAGGTACCAGGGGCATCTCATGGGGCCCCCTACTGACCCCGGGCCCTCGGGCAGTGCCCGTGTTTGCAAATGGTCAGTCCGCCCCTGGTAAGAACTATCAGGGTATCTCCTGGTTAAATGTCACATATAATGTAATAACAACATTTTGTCAGTGGGATAAGAACCTTGTGTTCAATAGCTTGTGGGAGATTATTGATGTGGCTTTCAGAAAAACAGATCAGATTTTCTTTTTAGTAATGCTGTAAAAATGCAGTGAATGTTATATCAACTTGCATCACCACAATATTGATTGCAACATACTTGTAAATAGGAAGCATTATATTAAACACTGCAGGAATTTGAAATTCCTACAAAGTACTAAAGGCTAATGGATATGAAACATCAAGTACAAAAAGTAGTACAAAAAAGTTCAAGAAAAAAAAAACAAAAGAAATGCCAGTCAATGGTCAACTAAGGCAGAAAGATGCCCAGCCACCTATGTTTAAAGCCTAATTGCAATTTTTTTTTATCCCAGCCCTCATGCCATTTGAAAGACATGTGAGCACCACACTGTCCAGGAGTACTATGAGCCCAGATTGTTGTGTGGAGACACCCTTAAGTGGCGTAAGTGTGGATACGAGTACTGAGTCTGAAGGAGTCAGTAAAGAGGAGGTTGTGAGTATTGCAGCCCAAACAGTTTTATTTTTAGCACCTGCTGGGCCACTGTGCTTTTATTTTTAAGATGTAGTTTTGCTTAGAGTCTGCAAAAACGTTAAGGAAATCTGGCTTAAAGAAAAAAAGTATGCAGTCTATGATATAACTCCCACAATGTCTAGCATGATCTAGAACTTGTAAGTAGAACAAAGAGCTTTTTAGAAGATGATCCCAATCCAAAAGTATGGGCATGAATATGAAGGTGGTGCCCCCCTATAACAACCTCCACTCTTCTGGATAGGCTTTCCACAAGATTTCAGATTGTATCTGTAGGATTTTGTGCCCAATGAACCAAAGGAGAATTTGTGAGGTTAGGTACTAATATTGGACAAGACCTGACTTGCAGTCTGAGTTCCTATTCTTCTCAAAGATGTTCGTTACAGTTGAGGTTACGGCTCTGTACAGAACACTCAGGTTCCTTCACACCAAACTCATCAAACCATGTCATTTTGTTGGTTTTTTTTGGCATTCTTTTATTTATTATTCTATTTTACTGTTTTTTTTATATCTTTTGACAATCAACAAAACTTACAAGCCAAACATGAAAACAAAACAATACAGTATCAAACCATGCTGTATCATGTGCAATAAAGACCAAACAAAATCCACAAATTTAAGTATTGACCATATGACCCATATGTTATACAAACAGAAATTAGAAGACAAAGTTATTATTCATCCAGCAATTAAGGTATTGATGTGTCCACATGAAATAAGTTACTTCTATTGACTTTGCCAGAAGGTGTCATACCATAATCAAAATGAAAATGCAAGGTCTGAAAAAAAAGTGTGTGTGTGTGGGGGGGTAGTTTTAGGAAAAAGAGACAATTACAGAGCAAGTATGAAGAAGCATAATAGGATCTAGGCCAAACCTGCTCCCTACCCACTCTAGCAATGAAAAGGTAATAAAGACCCCTCGGTCTTAACTGCTTAACTGTAGCCAAAAGACAGCCTACTTCTGAATAAGGTTGGTCTGGTAACGCATCACAACTCACTGTGTGATTATGTAGATAAAAGATGCATTCAAATTAGGCAGTGCAAGAATACTCAAGCCAATAAAACCATGTCCTGTTAAACTTCTCTTCCGTCCCCATTAAATCGCTAGTCAGACTCTCCATGTGTCAGATATCCTCAAGCTTATGAAACCACTGTGTCAGAGAGGGCACCATTGAGGACTTCATCAAACCATGTCCTAATGAAGGTGGCTTTGTTCATTCTGGAACAGAAAAGGGCCTTGCCCAAACTGTTGCCACAAGGTTGGAAGAGTACACTAGTCTAAAATGCTGTAGTATTTATAGTACCATTTATATGAAAAACACCTGACCTCAACAATTTTAAGGGGTGGCCATATACTTCTGGCTATGTAGGTTAGTGTGATACTCAGTTGTCCACAAACTTTTGGCCATGTAGTACATGTTTTACTTACAGGAAGTTTTGAAACCCTGGAGAATCTGAGGCTACAAAGAGAAGACAAGAGATAAAAAAGAGTGGGCACACGTCCAGCCAAAATTCTTTATAGACTGCAATGTCCTGGAGTAATCAAATACAGAGACATGGAGGTATGGAGATGCAGTAGTGTAGGCTGTACTACCTGTTTCTTAATGCTGTTCAGTGACTATGCTTCACTGTTCTTTTCTCAAAGAAGGTTTGTCATTTTTGTCAGATTGAACACAATTGTCTTTCTGTATGGCTTTATTGATTCAGTCTCTGCAACTGTTCAGGCGAGGTTCTGACTCTCTTCCTGTACTAGAATAGCTAATAGAGGAAGAATCTACAAATCTGTATGATCTGTATCAGTAGAACATGGAACGATAAGCGGACATAACTATCACATCAAAAATTACTTTCAGATAAAAATAATAACAGTTACAAATGTGTACCTGTTGACAATTCAATATAGTCTCCCCCTACAGTAAATATATCAAATGAATTTCCATTCTGCTAGGGAAAGTAATTGATAAGGTATAGTTTGCCTTTAGCTTGCTACTAAAGAACATTTGTGGGGGTTTTTTTACATCTTTCCACTTACCTGTTCTTAGCCTAAAGCTTATGGCAGGTTCTGCTTTCCATGGTTCAGCTTTTACTGGCACCGACTGAAGGGTTGAAATGTAAGTTATGAGGCGAGTGACATTGAACACATCACTTCCTGTGAGGACAGATACGATGGCTGAAGGGATGTAAAGTGAGGAGTTCACAAATACAGAATATCCAACGGTCATATTCGTCGACTCGGTCTGTGAACATGACGAAAAGTTAACATAGTATATGTTTCTTAAAGTGTGTTTCCACTATAAATGAGCAACCAATCTATGTTTAAAAAATACTATTCAGTGTGCCACTGACAACCACTTAGTGGTTATCACTTCCACCTTGCAGCCCTTGTTTCAAATCCCAACCAGGACATCACCTGCATAGAGTTTGAATGTTCTCCCTGTGCTTGTATTGGTTTCCTCTTACACTCCAAAGACATGCTGGTGGGCCAACTGACTCTGGTCCAAACTGGCCCTAGTATGTGTGTGTATGCATGTGAGATAGGAACCTTAGATTGTAAGCACCTTGAGAGAGCAAAGACTAAGGTGAACATACAATATGTAATGCACTTCATAAATTGCTGGCACTATATAAATACCTTTAATACATAAATAAATGTCTCAATAAACACTGTGACATTATGAAAGGCGAGGTGATTGATGAACGCTATGTGTCACCTCGCATGCGGTCATATCTGAGAGACTAAAGTGGTGTCTAATCCGGGTTTTCCAGGCCACTTTGGCAGAGTGGGTTCTGGACTGGATTTTGTGGTCCACTGATGACCACCAGCAGGTGGTATAAATCAAGCAGGACTGGAGCAAGAGGTTGCTCTTGGCCTGGGACTCAGAGAGCCATATCTAAGAGAGCTGTGGATGAAAGAGTTTGCGTTGTACAGGAAAGGAAAAGGTTTGCACACCATTTTGTTTTGATGGTGTCAAGGAGAAGCCCTTCACCAGTGAGATAGGAATCTCCTCTGTTTAGTTAGTGCCTGGATGGCGAGGGTTTATTTTTTCTGTTCTGTTTTGTTTATGATGCATGCGACCTTTTAAATAAAACTGGCTACAAGTCAGTCCAGCTGGACTACCTTTTTCCCAAGGTAGGTGATCCCCCACCTAAGCTAACCCCCATAACACATATCAGTGGGACCTGTAGGCACAACCTTTGATGCCCATGCAACACCCCTTGGCTATGATGTGCAAATAAGCCTAGAAGAGATGACTGTATTTCTAATGATAATGGCCAATACAATGTATTGTCAATAATTGTACAGGTTAATTTGTCTTTGCCACCTACAGACACAAAGCTGCTGTTCATGACAGTAGAGCTGGGTCCCATTAAATATATCCCACACCAAAATTGCTTTGTTATTTTCTTCCTGTCTCTGTTTGCTTGGCACAAAATGATACAAGATACCGTAGACATTAGATGGCAGTTAGATATATAGGCTCAATATGAATATGAAATGTCTTCCCACAATGTCCACATCAGATTGAAAAAACTCAACCGATATCACTGACACAGACCTATCCTGGAGTATAGTAACAACTGGTCAGGAAATCCAACCCAGCCAATTACAATTTAAAAGGCCTACCCATGGAATATCTGGTACGGTTAAGCAGCATACATGTATATGTTGAAACACCTGATGACAGATTACCAGTCTTTTGGAACAGTTTGTCACTCCACTGAAAGTGACGCTAAACAATATCCTTACCAGGGGCGGACTGACCATTCAAACACTCGGGTACTGCCCGGGGTCAGTAGGGGGCCCCATGAAATGCCCCTGGTACCTTTTATAGGCTTTTTTTGAGTGTGGGCAAGGACATAGGGGCCCCATGAGCCCCTATTGCCCGGGGGCCCCATGAGTTGTCAGTCCGCCCCTGATCCTTACTCTCCAAAAATAATGCATACACATCCACCACGTAATGGCCCTGTTCTCTATTTTTCCTGAAATCATTTCGTACTGTTTATCTGACTCCTTGTAATGTCCTCCGTGAGCTCCTGAACATGTCCTTTCATTTGACATGGGCAGTGCACATTATTTGTGGTCATGTGTTCTGCTCTATGCACACTACACATCCCATATTCATAGCCCATCTTGAGAGTGAGCAAGAGCGGGTGGCTACATTCTTACATACAGTGGGTCCATGGAGAACAAACGTAGCCACCCCCTAACAGGAAATCAGATCACAGCACCAAAAAAAGAAAGGAATTTAGAGATTTGGAGGAGGAGGCTGAGAGCAACAGAAGTTTCTGTTCTTGAATTAGTTACATGAGTTTAGGAAAGAAAAGTTTTCTCATATGAACTTCTTATTTCATATAGAATTCTAAAAATGTATAGTTTTTTTTTAATAACTGTGTGCCAGGAGATACTAAAAAGACAAGGCCAGCTGCTGTATTATAAATTTCCCCTGATATTCTGAATGGTATATGCAGTATAAAAAAGTATTAATTTTAATTAATAAAATCATTACTTTTTATAATTTAAGTAATTAAATCATCATTTTCAAGAAAGTTCCAATCACATGAGGAGTAAGTGAAACCAAACTAGCATAGTGTATAACAGGCCTGGACTGGGACAAAAAAGGCCTGGGCATTTTAGACTGAGCAGCCCCGAGCCCAGGGGTCCTTCCCTTGGAGTCCTGGTGGTGGAACGTAAGTGCGACCTTTGCAACCCTGGTAGTTCCGCCACTGGTGTCAGTAGTTTTTTTTTTATTTTTATTTAATTTTTTAATATTTGATACCATTTTATTTTATTCATTTATTTTTGTACAATTGTATTTTTATTATTTCTAATAGCCCTGTTGGGGGGCTTTGGTAAGCTATCAGGGACCCCTGACATTTCACCTTTGAGACAGAGAAAGGAGATTGAGGGCACAGCCTTCGATCTCCACCTCTGCAGCCTCAGCAGCACAGAGTGAATGGACAGGAATAGCTCTGTACAGAGCTTTCCATTCATTATAAACTGAAGTATAGTAAACACAGTTTACTATGTCTCAGTTATGAATAGACAAAGTCAGTGATTGGTACCATCACTGACTGTCCATTCAGACAATGAAGGGTCTGGTAAATGAAATATTTATGGGCCCCTTCCTTGCTCTCCATTCTGACAGATCACATGCAGCAGCCGGTGTTAAAGGGGAGGGAGAACCTGGCAGCACTGTGGGAGAGGAGGTGGGGCCTGCAGAGAGCATAGAGGGACCAAGAGAGAGGACAGGGGCTCGGGGGCAGCAGAAAGAAGATGGATAGAGGAGCAGCGGGGCGGCATATAGAGGAACCGAGCTGTCCATTTTTCTCCTGCAGCTGCTGAATGCCTGCAGGATGGAAGGAGAAGAAGTGGGCATTCCTATCCAGGAAAATGCCCAGTGTGCCCTATGGCCTGCCTGGACCTGACATAAAAAACCATTTATTAAGTTTGCATATAAAAACAAGAATACATTAAATTACATTAAACTAACATAGATTTAGGTTTAAGGTGAAAAAAGATGGGATTTACGGTAATATTAGGAGATTTAATTAATATTTTAAACTAGTGCTGTAATTTTATATATACATATATAATTCTAACAATACTTTCTTTTTAAGACAGTTCTTATAACTATGTACAACCTATTTACATGATATATGATACTTACAGGTACTGGTGTCGGATCTAGAACGACTTGAACTGACATGTTCAACGCTTGATTAAGAGTACTGTTAAGGAACACCCTCAGGGCCTGTCGGTAAGTAGGCTCATTATCTTTTGGAGGACTCTTCAGGGTGAGAACTAAGCAAGAAGAAACAATCAAAAATGAATGCATATTCTACTCTTCACTACCCCTTATTTGATACGAGTAAATGAAACTTTATGTTCTGATCTCCTCCTTCCATACAAATACACTGTTGACAAACAATCCAAAAAGTTTTGAAAATTTGTAACCATCATTGGCTCCCTGAAAGCTTGCTGGGGCAGTTTTTGCCAATATTAAAATATCCTTTAAGAAAAAAATTTTGTTTTTGAAGAATTAAGTACACAACATTATCATCTCTGAAATGTTTAATTGAGAAAACAAAATCCATGGTCTAGCTTCCCGCTCTTTTTCATTCTCCGCTTGAGCAATTGAATATTGCATTTGAAAGGAAGGAAATAAAACACTGACGTGTGACCTTGGGCTGTTAGCAGAAAATAATATTAATTTTGTTGGTTTACCCAATATATGCATTATTTATTGACCAGCAATTACAGTTTAAAAAGACCCTAATTTCCATGAATTTTCTGTGGTTTTTATTTAATCTAATGTGATTTTTTTGGAACCATTTTAAACTAACACATTTTAAGTGCATTTCTTGCACTTTTATGCTATTTTATATAGTAGGATATGGGCTTGGCCCGACATTCACAATGGATGTTCTTCTGGATAATACTGATAATATAAATTGTCCACAGTATCCTAATCTAATCTAAAGCACACTATGGGGTATATTTATTTTATTTATTTTGGAAGAATCAGAAAGATGTTTCAGGGTTCAAAAACATTAGTTCACAACATAAAATACAATAAGCCAGACACTGCGTGACTTAGCAAATAAGCATAAATATAACAAGGATCCATGGACCCATTAAACACAAAATAATTGACCATACAGTGTATCTTGCACCAGATCATACCGATCCTCCCCTTTTATATACATATTTATAAGAGGGAAAGTATGGAACACCATGTCCATTAGAGAAAAAGAGGAAAAGAAGTGCGAGAGAAAAAAAAAGGGGTGGGGGAAGGAGAAGGGGAAATTAAAGAGTCCTTCCCAACCCTCCAGGCCACGCACCAACATAATGGTGTTTGCCAGGATGTCTGACCTTATTGCTGTTGAGAGGCAAGAGGTGTTTGATATTTATAGAAAACGTTGGGGTACATTTACAAAGCAATAAATGTGACTTTCATGAAACATTCACTGGTGGCAAATTATTCACTGTCATTTAAAACATGTGCATCAGGAAGATTCATCGTAGCGAATTTTTTGTGAATGTCAGATTAGCTGTTTTATAATACCAACCGCTTTTTTTTTTAGCTTAGTAAGGAAAGCTAAGTAAAAGAAGAGAGGCCACCTGAGGTATGACAAACGTGTTGTCAAATGGCTGAACTCATGTTGGTAACATACTGGGGTTGATTTACTAAAAGCAAATTGGTCATGCACTTTGCAAGAATCATTATGCATGTTCCATAGCTTAGTAAATCAGGTAACGCTTCACTTTGCAAAGAATACCCAATCACATGCAAGGAAAATAAAAAAAAATGATTGGATGATGAAATTCAGCAGCGCTTCCCCTCATTTAATAAGCTCTGGAGCAAATACCTTCGCAGAGCGCAAGTGCGCTTGCAAAGTGCACAGTTTACTTGCCTTAAGTAATTAACCCCAATATGTCTTCCAGCTCCTAAAGTTGGCCATACACTGGTAGTGCCAACAGAGACTTGATGAAAGGCGTTTGCTTTTAACTTTCAATTTGAATGGTTTGAATGGAATTTCGCAAATGAAAAACTATATTCACTGTAAGAAAGTTTGTACATTCAAGAAAAATCTTCCATCCTGCTCCTTCAAAGTTTCTCGTCACTACAGTTCAAAAAGTAACATTAATTTTACCCCACAAACCATTAGAAAATCGAACGAACATTCCTAAAACAAAAATGTTTGAAAGAAATTCTACTAGTGTATGGCCAGCTTCAGTAACCATAGTACACAGTCCTATAGTTGTTTACATTAGTCAACTAATATTCCCAATTAAATAAAATAAATAATAACTACAGATTGTAAAATCTAACAGTATGTGCTTTTCAGGTGTCATTCAATTTGTATTGTAACTTCAGCTTGTTCTACATTATTGAGTGAGAATGTTAAGATTGAGAACCCTGAAAGAGCTTACCTGTTTTAACCATAGTTTCTGATGAGGGTTGGCATCCAAATTGGGGAGGTGTTGTTTCTGGTGTAGAAAGTATGGTACTCAGAATTGTGCTCAAACCAGTAGTAGCATTTGACACTGGCACCAAAGGAGCTTTTGTTGTCTTGGTGGTCATCACTGTGGAGGCTACAGCTGATGTGGTTATGTTTTGAGGGTGAACAGCTGATGTAGTGGTGGTGTCTGATAGAGTTGTAGCAATGATTGTAGTAGGTGCGTGTGTTGTAGGTGCATGTGTAGTAGTAGTAGCAGCAGTAGTAGTTGTAGTAGTAGTTGTAGTAGTAGTAGTACTGTTAGTACTTGAAGGGGGCACTGAAACTGTACTACTTGTCATTGTGGTTTGAGGAACAACTGTGGCAGGTGTTTTTATTGTGGGAGTTGCTATTGTAAAATTAGTTGGTTTTGAAGTAACAACATTTGATGTCTGAACTTGTGGAGTCCTTGTAATCAAAGTGGTCAATAATGTGTTTGTTACTGATGAAACACTTGAAATCTCAGAAGAAGAAGCCATAGTAGAGACTGTAGAGAAAGAACCAGATATGTTTGTTGGAACGATTGCAGTTTTATTTGGAATGGTTGATGAAAAAGGAGATGTTATGGATGGGGATGGAAAATGGGATGTAGTTGAAGACGTAGTGTTTGGAATGGCCTGAGTACTACTTTCAATTACTGTAGATAAAGCTTCTCTATATGTTGTAGACCCTGAATATGTCAAGGTTTCAGCTGTGTCTGTAGTGTTATGTTGAGTAATTGTGATATTTACCTACAGTTGTTTGCATGTGTGTTGAAGATGTAGTGCCTTCAGAATTATGAGACAAATTGGAAGAGTTTGTAGGAGATAATGAATAGGTGTTTGTTGAAGTAGCTTCTGGCTCTATCGATTTTCTGGATATTGGCTGAGATACTGAAGATTTAGTAGTGGAGAAGGTACTTGGTGAAGTTTCTTGGCTTGTCTGACTTATAAATTCTTGCTTACCACTGGATGTTATACTTGGTGATAGAGATGTCTGAGTTGACATAGAAAGATGTGCAATAGTTATGCTGCTAGAATAAGATTTCTGGCTTGGATGAATGGATGTCTGCAAAATCTCTGTTGCTGTAACAGTGTTTATATCCAACTGTTTCATTAAATTCTTCTGTTTGGGATCCAGCAGAACTTGTAGAACTGGTCTGAAAAGTGGACACTGTTGAAAATTCATCTGGCAACTTTGTTATTACATTAGTTGGTGTATAAACAGGAGGTTCAGATGTCACCTCTGCAGTTAAAGTTGGTTGTATATTTGCTTCTGTTGATGGTTGAACAACAGCTGTGTAACTGCCCTGAGAAGAAGAGAATGCTGATGTGTCTAATGTACTAGGCAATGCTTTAGAAGATATATCAGTATTATAATCTATTACAGTCACTGATGTTAATCTATTTATGGAGGTCATCTCTACTGATGTTACATCTGACACTGTTGTTGAGATACTTTGCTCAGTATCAATACTAGGATAGGTGGTCAGTTCAGAAAAAGAAGGCATAAAAGATCCTGTTGAGGTTCCAGGCTCAGTCTGTGTTACGCTAGAAAATGTACTGCCTTCAGTAATATTATAGTTTGTGATGGTGTCACTTCAGACTCAGATGTAGCACTGGATGTCCTGGTAGACACAAAAGTGGTAGCAGCACCAGTAGCTTTAGATGGGGATGAGAAAGAAGTTGTAAGACTACTTAACAAATGTAATGGTGATGTAAGATCAGAAGCTTCAGTACTAATTTCAGCATTAGTCCAGGATGTCATCAGATTACTTGTGGTAATTTCATCAACTTTTGTGGTTATATTTGGTGCATTAGTATTTTGCTCCATACTTGTACCAAGATTGGAAGCTAATTCGGAAGTAGTTAAAGAGGCGTCGTTTTTTTGAGGTTTCAAAATCTGTCATTGTTGATAAAGAAACTGTACTTTCTTGATTGGAAGTAGGCAAAAAGGCATTGTTTGTTGAGGTTCCAAAATCTGTCATAGTTGACAAAGCAACTGTACTTTTTCGACTAGAAGTAGATAAAAAGGCATTGTTTGTTGAGGTTCCAAAATATGTCGTTGCTGGTAAAGAAACTGTACTTTCTTGACTAGAAGTAGTTAAAAAGGCATCATTGTTTGAGGTTTCAAAATCTTTCATAGTTGATAAAGAAACTGTACTTTCTTGACTGGAAGTAGGCAAAAAGGCATTGTTTGTTGAGGTTCCAAAATCTGTCATAGTTGACAAAGCAACTGTACTTTTTCGACTAGAAGTAGTTAAAAAGGCATTGTTTGTTGAGGTTCCAAAATACGTTGTTGCTGGTAAAGAAACTGTTCTTTCTTGACTAGTAGTAGTTAAAAAGGCATCATTATTTGAGGTTCCAAAATCTGTCATAGTTGATAAAGAACCTGTACTTTCTTGACTAGAAGTAGTTAAAAAGGCATTGTTTGTTGAGGTTCCAAAATCTGTCGTTGCTGGTAAAGAAACTGTACTTTCTTGACTGGAAGTAGGTAAAAAGGCATCATTGTTTGAGGTTCCAAAATCTGTCATTGTTGATATAAAAACTGTACTTCCTTGATTGGAAAGAGGTGCATTTGTGACTGTGTAATGGGAGTCAATCCCCTGTGGAATATGAGTGCAGACTTTCTGTTTGCATATCAGTACTAGGTGTATCTGAGGATATAGAAGGTGCAAATGTCTCTGACACTTTTTCTGAAGTGAAGAATGTTGATGTGCTCATCTTAGTTGGTGATGAATTTCTGGAAACATCTGGAAGAACCCAAGTTGTGAGGCTATCACTGATAGCATTTGTTATAGGCCGTGTAGTTGTTTGCCTTAAAGGTAATGTTGTTATCAATTCATTGGTATTCAGTTCCACAATATTATTAGCACTGGTAGTCAACTCATCAGAAGGTGACATGTTGCTGGCCGTGGGTTTCAATTCTGTTATTGTTGTTATAAAGACTGTATTGTCTTTGCTTACTTTTGGATTGTTTGTGGCACCTGTTGAATCTGTCTGGGAGATCTTTGTGTTGTCACTAGTGGTACTGGTCACTCCAAATGTTGTGATAGATGAAGATGTTTCTGTTGCTGACTCTGTATGGGATGGTTTTGAGGAGATCATTAATGTTTTAGATGTGAAACTATCAATTTCAGTGACATTCCACATTGTTGTTTCATTATGGATGGCATCAGGTATAGACACTGTTGTATCATCTGTTAATGCCACAGCTGTTGGTGTATTGGCAGTTGTGTCTGGTCCATTAGTAACCTGGAATGTAATTTTTTCAGTATGTGAAGTTGTTGATGATGACACAATATTTCCTAATGTTGTGGACTTGGCATTTGTAGAAACTAAATAGGTATTTTCTTCAGTAATACTTTCAGTGATATCTGAGTTAGCTGTGGAACTGGCAAAGGGAGCAACTGTAAAATTGGTCACACCGTTGTGTGTAGTAGTGTCACTTGACTGAGAAGGAAATAATGTTGACATAATAGGAGAAGTTACTGATGTGCCTGAAAAAGTGGTGTCAACACTGTCTGTGGCAACTATGGAAGCCTTGGCACTCTCGGAATTGATTAACTCTGCTGCAGATGTTGTGGACTCAACAGAAGATATCTTTGAAACTGTGATTGGCTGGATACTGCTTAACACAGTATCTATATAAAAATATGAGCTTGATGTGTATTCTGATATTGTGGAGGTTGAAAACTGCTTTGTTGGTGATGGCCTGGAAGATGTAAATACCTCGTTTATCAAAGGACCTTTTGTAGAGGTATGTACTTCATTACTACTTTCTGAAGTTGTGTGGAGCTCAGGAGGACCGATAGATTGCAGAAAGCCTGATTCAGCATTTGAACTCAATTCAGTTGTTGTCCCAGTGATCTCCTGGGTTTCTCCAATTTCTGTGGTAGTGTAATGGAAAGGTGTGGTTACTGCCACAATGGAAATCTCTGAAATTCTTTCTTTTGCTGTGTTTATCTCTGTAAAAATGCTTGTGTCTATAGTTTGGGTATTCAAAGAATCCATGACTGTGGAAGATTTGGAAACTGGATTGGTAGTTTGAGGACTGGTATTTAAGTTGATGGTTGTTTGAGGTTTACCAGTTTCATTCCCTTCTGAATTTGAAGTACTTACATCTGTGGCAGTGTTTTCAAGCCCTATTGTTATAGGTAGATTGGTTATGTTCTGGGCTTCTATAGATGATGTAACTGGAATACTTGTATAAACTAAGGCTGCAGGCTCCACTGAACTGTAGGTTTGCCCTACATTAGTTACCTCTATAAATGGTTTTGTTGATGGCACTCTAGAAGTAAGTTTTACAGTTGTCAGTTCTACAGTTGTAGAACCCTCCATAAACACCCTTGTCCGTGAATCTGTGTCTTCTGGCAAGCTGGTGGTTTGAGAAATCAAGATATTGCTGGTTGGAATATAGGTAGAAGTTATAATATTTGTAACTGTGTCCTGATTTAATGTTTCCTGCTTATTGGTTCCTAATGTTACTAAACCTTCTATGTCAGTGTAAGGCACATTAGTGGAAGATATATCTGACAGAGAAGACTGGTATGGCAATGGTGATGAAAACAATGGTGATGATGATGAAATAGGAATGGAATGATCTGTTTCAGGTAATGTGGGCGCATATGAGGATGCTGAATAGGAGAACATTGATAGGGGTAATGTGCTGGTATCACTTAGACCTGAGTCTGTAGGCTGGAGTGAAGATAAGGGTGAAGGTTCTGAAGGATTGCTATCCCCCAACTGCATTGTTATATTGTCCTGCACACTGTCACTTGGACTTGTAATATTATCCTTAACATCCATACTGGGTTGTGTAGTGTTGTCATTATAATTAACATTCCCAGTCTCCGCTGTTTGTTCCATTGCACTGTTCGCTTCACCCGTTGTAGAGAAAAGGGACGGTTCTTCAGAAGGCCACAATTCACTTCTTAAGATGCTTTCATCTGTTGTCATTGTTAAACCTGTAACAACAAACACATTTATATGTTTTAGATTGTAGTAGCCTACAGAAGCATAAACATATTTATACAAAACATGAATGATTATTGGTTCAGTCTTTGTTGTTGTTTACTGTATATCTATATATACTTTTTATGCATGTGATGACTTTTTATTAGTTCTGAATTATGAGTATAAGAATTAATACATGTCAATTTTATGTATCATTTGTTTAACCTCCCTAGCGGTATGATTATTTCAGATTTTTGGTGCTGAAAGTGGTACCATTATTTTGCATGGAAATATGTAGTTTTTTTATTGTAGGCTGTAATTTTTAGGAATAACTCACTGAAATCTGTCCGAACAAGAGTCTATTAAACATCCCGGGTATGATAAAATTTGAAACACGAAATCATAAATTATAAATTAATAAATAATCATAAAAAATAATAATATAATAATAATACATTTAATGCAATAATATAATCAAACCGAAAACACGGAAATTTGAAATAGAGCGCCAAGTTCGTACATTGCTGAGCAAAGTCGCAAAATCGTTTTCAGTGTCTGATGACGAATTTCCCCACGAATCATTATCACTCAATTCTGCAAGTGGTTCTAATTTACTATCGGTGTTCTCTAGCTGGTCTAAACCCGCTTTTGACCTAAAGGGACACTTTTTGGACGCCATGGACGTTTCTCAGTTTCCAGGCAGAAAGCAGTTTCCAGGCACAAAATGCAGGCAGGGCACAGGACAAAGCACTCGGGACAATATGTATGTGAAATGGGTTGAAACAGCAATGTTTTACTATGTAAAATTTGTTTGGAAAAAAAATGACATTTTTTTAACATTTTCAAATTTCCTGCCGCCGCCGGCGCCCGTACGTCCCGACGTCACAGGGACCGGAACACAGAAGCCGGATGCCGGCATCAGCCAGAGGAGATGGCCGGGGACGCTGCAGCGGACACATCGCGGGAGTGAAGGACAAGGTAAGCTCTGCAGGGACTCCCTATGCAGCGCCGCATGGTAAGCCCGAGTGAAGCTCGGGGTTACCGCTTTTGGCACTGACATTTTAACCGGAGCTACACTCGGGAATACCGCTAGGGAGGTTAAGCAGCACAGTGGCTAAGTGGTTAGCACTTCCACTTAGAAGTATTAGGGTCATCGATTTGAATCTCAACCACGACACTACCTGCCTGGAGTTTGCATGTTCTTCCTGTGCGTGAGTGGGTTTCCTCTGGGTACTCTGGTTACCTCCCACACTCCAAAATCATGCTAGTAGGTTAATTGCTAGTAGGTTAATTGACTCCTAAATTGGCCCTAGTATGAGTGTGAGTTAGGGACCTTAGTTGTAAGCTCCTTGAGGGCAGGGACTGATGTGAATGAATAATATGTATGTTAAGAACTGAGTAAATTGACAGCACTATATAGTGTAAGTAGCTGTAATAAATTATTATTATTATATAGGATTTATATAGCGCCAACAGTTTGCTCAGCGCTTTACAATATAAAGGGAGACAATACAGTTCAATACAAGAGGGTTAGGAGGGCCCTGCTCCTTGGAGCTTACAATCTAAGAGATAATAAATAAAGTGCATCACCTTTATTTCTAGGTACTGTTTGAATTAAGATCCAAAGTCTAACTGTTCAAATTTATTGAAAGAGTCAACATTATCCATGTTGTGCCCTTACCTTTCCACAAACGGTAGGAATGATGGTACTTTTGTTAAAAAAGATACAAGTCTGGCCCATCTCTGATCTGAGCAATTCAAGACCAGTTGGTTAGCAGCTGGTCACTGCCATTGCTGACTATTTTGCATAAATGACACAATGCCAGAAGCTGAGTCCACAGGATAACAAGGATAGCTTGACATGTCCAGATGGAGAACAGGAAAGACTGCCATAATATTATACATTTAGCTTATGATCTAAAAAGGCTAAATAGCATGAAAGTGACAAGAAATAGTTCAACATGTGACAACAGTAAGAATTAAATAATAATAAAAGGAGTTACAAAATCCTTAAAAAATGAAAGGTGTTTGTGTTGACCACAGCCACCAATTAAGTAAAAGCTTTTTGTGATAGATGCCCTTTAAATCTTCCAGCAGTCACCAATAATGAAAATGTTAACTTTGGGCAGAAATAGCCATTAACTGTTCATTAGCAATTTATGGGTGAGTCACATATATTTTATATTGGAAATAAAGATTTTATATATCCAGTACAGAGAAGCATGTCTGTGAAAGTTTTCTTTCATCCAGCTCATGGTATAGCTATTAGTAGTTTGCAATTTCAGGCTTGTTCTCTAAAGCCTGATACATACTATTAGTTATTTTTTGTTCAACTCAGCGGTCTGAATGAAAAAAAAAATTGGCATAGCGCTGTACTAACACAAGTGATGTTAGTACAGCGATCTCTCCCACTGAGCTATTGTGCCAGGGCACACTGATCACCTCTCGCAGCCGTTGGCTGCCAGCACTAATCGGATTTCGATCGGAAGCTGGTTTTCTGCGATTGGCTTCTGTCAGAAAGGGAGCTGTTCACACAGGCCGAAAGTCGGCCGGTTCGTGCTGGACTGACCGTTTACGGATGATTTTCAACCCGTGTGCACCCGGCATAATGCAGAAGTTATTTCACCACTTACCAAGTGGTTTCCTCAGTTCAGGTGATTAGATTGCCATGGAAAATAATTATTACATATTTAGTGCATCTCTGCAATGCATACACATTTCCCCATGTTCTATCGCTTAAAGGAAATCTGTGGGTACAGCATACTTTCATTTTATAATGTCAGCATTGTAATAGCTAGACAAACCATAGTAATATTGACAATCCAATATAAGCGTATTTAAATATCTCCTTTCATGTTGTGAGTGCTGCCTGTCTGCTGGTTATCTTTTTCTGCAACTTTCTGGATTCCCCGCATGCTTTGCAGCTTCTTCTCTGCTGTACACTCTCAATTTCTAAAGACTACATATCCCACAGTACCTCGCTGCCTACAAGCAGTAATTCCTGCACTGACTCCACTGCCTGAAGCTCCTCCTCTCTCCTCTGTAGTAGTTACAAACTTCAAGATCATTCAGAGTAATAGGACTAGGCTAGAAATATTTGAAATACAATGTGGAAATTCATATGGAGCAACAGCTCCAGGATGGATACCGCGCTGCAACAGATGTGAGTGGGTTGCCATTCTGGAAGCTCACATTGGAAATCTGGAAGAGCAAGTTGCAACACTGGGCAGAACTGACAACCTTGAATTATTATTATTATTATTATACAGTATTTATAAAGCGCCAATAGTTCGCTCAGCGCTGTACAATACAAAGGGGGACAGAACATGTGACAGAACAATACCAATACAATGCAAAACATGAGGGGATCGAGGGCCCTGCTCCTTGGAGCTTACAATCTAGGAGGGAGGGGATGATGGTACAGGAGGAGATAGCTGTGGGGGATGGAGTGGTAGGAAGAGTGGAGGAGGTTGGCAAGTTAGCAGGGGGTGGGGTAAGCTTCCCTGAAGAGATGGGTTTTCAGGGTGCGCCTAAAGGAGAGGAGAGTAGGTGATAATCTGATGGGTTGGGGCAGGGAGTTCCAGAGGATGGGTGACACCCTGGAGAAGTCCTGGAGGTGGGCATGGGAGGAGGAGACCAGGGAACTAGAGAGAAGGAGGTCTTGTGAGGAGCGGAGTGTGCGTGTTGGGCGGTACTTGGATATTAGGTCGTTGATGTAGTTCGGGGCAGTATGGTGGACGGCTTTGTACATCAGGGTTAGGATTTTGAATTTTATACGTTGCGCAATCGGAAGCCAGTGGAGGGATTGGCAGAGGGGGGTGGCGGAGATGGAGCGGTTGGAAAGGTGAATGAGTCTGGCAGCCGTATTCAGGATGGACTGAAGCGGGGATAGCCAGCAGCGAGGCAGGCCAGTGAGGAGGGAGTTGCAGTAGTCGAGTCGTGATATGATGAGGGAGTGGATGAGCTGTTTAGTGGTTTCTGGGGTTAGGAACGTGCGTTCCAATATTAGCTTTCCAATATTAAAGTAACCCGATCCAAATTTCAAATCCAGCTTCTAAAGAAAGCCTTTTGGCTTGGCTTCCCTTCACTTGGTGAGGGTGATGGTTCCAACAGTCAAAACAACAGACGACAGATTTATCACACAAACCATGGAGATGTCCTCACTGAATGGGGTCTTCTGCTCACTGAGAGGTGATATGGGGTGATGTGGAGGGTGGAGGGGTGAGTCAGGATTATCTGGTAGATATCTGGTAGACTCCATATTTCTGTCATCCCTCTAAACCCTTTTGCAAGGCTTAGCAAGCTTGATGGCGCTTTGAGTCATAGACATACTACTACAATTGCGGATGTCATGCTGGTCATTATATGCCAGTTGTCATGGTAAGGCTAAAGTGAAATCCATTTGAAATGTTTGTAATTGGAATGCATGGCTGTCCTTTCAAAGGAAATTTCTAGTTATTTCTTTCAACTTCCCACAATGAAAATATTCAAGTAGCATGGAAGAAGGTATTCAGGCATTCTACGATGGGTGTGACAAAGCATACATCCTAATAGTAGTATTATTATCTTCCCTGGTGGTCACATCACGGTTTAGCAGAATAGAACTATGATCTGAAACAGTTTTTATCCAGTAGGGTCCAAAAGCTCCTTGATGACGCCAGCTTGCTTCACACAAGCTCCAAACACATTTAGCCATTTGATATAAAATAATTAATTCCAGCAGAAGATGTACTCTGATATTTTTTTTATTTTAAACCAACAAAGCTGAGAGATGATTTAAAAACCTTCGTAACAGGTTCTTGTGAAGCTTTTATTAAAAAATAGAAGCCTAAAGTGAGCTAAGAAAAAAACGAGTAGATGAATAATAGTAAACAATAAAAAGATTTTGTGTCAATACTGACTTTCAGTCTGGAGTCGTCCTAAAATAATTTACTTCTGCCACCAAGTGTTCCCAGTTCTTCAGTTGAATGGCAGTGTCATACAAGCTATTTCCTCTGAGCCTAGGCCGTCATG